TTTTTCAGGGTAAAGATCTTTCACCTTCTTGGTTAAATTTATTCCTGGAATTTACTCTTTTTCATTTAGTTGAGGATTGTGTTGTTTTCTTCAGTTATCATTCTGATAGTTATTATTAGTGTGTACAAATGAAAATTTTTCTGTATATTCATTGTGTACCCTGCAACTTTATTGAATTTATTTATTAGTCCTAAAAGTGTTTTGTTGGTGTCATCATAATTTTCTACATTGAACATCAGGCCATCTGCAAACAGTGGCAGCTTTATTTCTTTCTCTCCAATTTGGATGTTTTTTATCTCTTTGTTCTGTGTGATTGCTGTGGCTAAAATATTAAATACTAGGTTAAGTAGAAGTGAAGAGAGTGGGCATCCTTGTTTTGTTTCTGATCTTAGAGAAAAAGTTTCAGCTTTGAATCATTGAGTATAAGATTAGCTGTGGCTTGGTCATAAATGGCCTTTATTATTTAAGGTATGTTCCCTCTATACCAAGTTTATTGAGAATTTTAACATAAATAGATGCTGAATTTTACCAAATGAATTTTCTCCATCCATTGAGATAATCATGTAACTTTATCCTTCATTCTGTTAATGTGTATCACAGTGATTGATTTGTGGATTTGAACCTACCATGCACACCTGGAAAAATCCTACTTACCCATAATGTGTATGTATTGTTGAATTCAGTTTCCCAATATTTGCTGAGGACTTTTGCATCTCTGAGTTTTGGGAATATTGACCTGTATTTTTCTTTTTTTGTAGTATCATTGTCTGGTTTGTGTATCAAAATATTGCTGGCCTTATTGAAAAAGTTTGGGAGTACTCAGTATTCTTCAGTTTTCTGGAAAAATTTGAGCAGGATGGGGATTAACTTTTCCTTAAATATTTGGAGAATTCCGCTGTGAAGCCATAGCATTCTCTACATCAAGAATCAACAAAATATGACCCATGACCAAATCTATTCAGCCGCCTATTCTTGTAAGAAAAGTTTTATTGGAGCACAGCAGCGCTCATTTATTCATGTATTATCAGTGGCTTCTTTCATGCCACAGTGGCAGAGTTCAGTAGTTGCAACAGAGAATGAATGGCCTGCAAAGCCAAAAGTATTTACTATTCTACCCATTATGGAAAAAGATTGTAAACCCCTGTTCTGCATCATTAGTCATCAGGGAAATTCAAATTGCTACCACAGTGACACCGCTATACACCATTATGCTGGCTAAGAGTAATAAAACAACAATATTAAGTGTTGACAAAGAGTTAGAATAAGTAGTTTGATTTAGAATCTACTTACTGTTCCCTTTAGTGTGAAGGGCTGTCCTTGATCTGATGTTGCTATTACGGGAGGAAAGACAGCCCCATGCAGTGATTCAGCTTGAGGACCAATTCCTGTCTTTGAAGGGACCCTAGGGCAAGTGAGGTCCTTCCATGAATATATCCGAAGTCCTGTTTTCTCCTGGTAGGTCTAGCATCCCAACCAAGGCTTCCAGATCCCCCTGAGACACACCTCAATTAGGGGAAACAAAGATTTCACTGGGGGAAACCTCATCAAGGGCAAACTCTCCCTCTATCTGGAGAAATCACTGGCCTAAGAAGAACACTCAGCCATTCATATCAGTGCTCTGATTGATGCATGGTTGATAATCATCAGCTTTTAAGAAACCTTACACAATTGTACAGTGTAACTTCTCTATAGGGCCACAAAGGGGCAGTGGTGCTTCAGAAAAGATTAACATTTGTCCCACATCTACATATTCTCCAAGAAGTCACAAATTAGCCTTTAAAAATCTAATGACTTTTTAATCTCCTATTAGCTTCAGTTTTAATCTATCATTATGTATATTTCTATGTGGATAAGTATGTATGTGTGTATGTATGTATGTATGCATGCATGCATATATCCATCTAACTGAGTAGTATGTGTATATTCTAGTCTACTAGTTTCAAACCTATGACTTTGGAAATCAACACTTCTTTGAATAATGCAGGTTGTTTTTCAAGATCAGGACCATATTAGCTTCTCGAATAAAAATTTATAACGATTCCACCCAGACACAGCCCAGTCTCCAACCACTGAGTTAATCTGTGCCTAGAATTCCCTCACCCCATTTTTAAAAAGGGAAAACTGCTGGTGGTGTAAGTACCAATCCAAGCATCCGTCCATTGGAGCCATTGTCTCTCTGGGCCAGAACTAGAACTCGTTACTGGTTTGTTTGTTTTATTTTATTTTATTTTTTTGTCACATCATATAGATACACATTTCTCTCCAGTAGCTTTTATCTGGATGCACTTAAATACTGGGACTAGGTTGGCTGAAGACTGGGATTATGTCTCCTTCAGGAAGGAGACCCAAGTATTGCTCATGTACTAGGCACTTAGGAGCACTCAGTAAACATATATCG